GCATTTGGCTGAATATGAGCAGATAATATTGCCCGAAACACTTCAGAATTCATCCTGCTGCTTTTGTCAGCAGTCACATCATCAATAAATACAAGAGAACCAGTTCCATTGGCAGCCATACATGCCCACGCCATGACACTACCACCACCATGCTTCACTGATGACGTGGTATGCTTAGGATCATGAGCAGTTCCTTTCCTTCTCCATACTCTTCTCTTCCCATCACTCTGGTACAAGTTGATCTTGGTCTCATCTGTCCATAGGATGTTGTTCCAGAACTGTGAAGGCTTTTTTAGATGTCGTTTGGCAAACTCTAATCTGGCCTTCCTGTTTTTGGGGCTCACCAATGGTTTACATCTTGTGGTGAACCCTCTGTATTCACTCTGGTGAAGTCTTCTCTTGATTGTTGACTTTGACACACATACACCTACCTCCTGGAGAGTGTTCTTGATCTGGCCAACTGTTGTGAAGGGTGTTTTCTTCACCAGGGAAAGAATTCTTCGGTCATCCACCACAGTTGTTTTCCGTGGTCTTCCGGGTCTTTTGGTGTTGCTGAGCTCACCGGTGCGTTCCTTCTTTTTAAGAATGTTCCAAACAGTTGTTTTGGCCACGTCTAATGTTTTTGCTATCTCTCTGATGGGTTTGTTTTGTTTTTTCAGCCTAATGATGGCTTGCTTCACTGATAGTGACAGCTCTTTGGATCTCATCTTGAGAGTTGACAGCAACAGATTCCAAATGCAAATAGCACACTTGAAATGAACTCTGGACCTTTTATCTGCTCATTGTAATTGGGATGAGGGAATAACACACACCTGGCCATGGAACAGCTGAGAAGCCAATTGTCCCATTACTTTTGGTCCCTTAACAAGTGGGAGGCACATATGCAAACTGTTGTAATTCCTACACCGTTCACCTGATTTGGATGTAAATACCCTCAAATTAAAGCTGACAGTCTGCAGTTAAAGCACATCTTGTTCGTTTCATTTCAAATCCATTGTGGTGGTGTATAGAGCCAAAAATGTTAGAATTGTGTCGATGTCCCAATATTTATGGACCTGACTGTAATATTTAGGCTATTCTTTTCAGTACTGTACAATACAGAAGTAGTTGTTTTAAAAACTGCATTGTTAGTGTTTATTATAATTTGGAACAGATGTTGGTTTCCATAAAATTCTCCATAAGCAGTTGAACATTTTTATCTCTCGTAGCAACGAGTGGCCCAGGAGGTGCTCACCAACCTGAAGGACCACCCAGATGCTTGGATGAGAGTCGACACCATCCTGGAGTTCTCTCAGAACATGAAAACTAAAGTAGGTTCCAGATGCACGGTGACATTTTATCAGAGAAAATGCACAGAACTCTCATCAGGGCAAATGTAATAATGTGAGCTGATGCTTTTACCAGTTAATCCGCATCAGGTCCAAGCTTTCAGGGCAGTGAAGTTTGTGCATTATTATTGAATTGTCTTCAGCAACTGGGAAAGCTTGGTGTGTTTTAAGTCAGTGGTTGTTTTAATGATATTTTCATCTGTGGTTAGTGGTGTTAAAATGTTGATTTTCTGTTGATGTTTTTGAGTTTCTCTTGGTGTTGCTGTTGTCTTTATTTGTTAAGTCATGGCTGATTTTATGGCTCATGCTAACCATCCACAGTCCCCTTTTAATTCCTGTTTAGTACAGAGCACAGAAATTATTGCCCGTAGTGTTAAATGCCTAACTGTGTTTATGCCAGAGGATTTTGGGGAGAGAAATACTGTACACACAATGTCAATATCTGTATGCATGTATCAGTATCTCCCTGCATGAACAGGTTTATTAGCGTGTTATGGTCCATGCCTAAAGTCCAGGCATCATGAGCTGTGGGCTGCAGTTTCCTATACATGTACAAGCAGGCATGACAGCAAATACTGTGCCGTGGTTATCCTTTGTTTGTTGTTTATTACATATTGATTATCTCTAATACATCTCCACTTTCCTGTCAGTATTATGCACTGCAGATTCTGGAGGAAGTCATCAAAACACGCTGGAAGGTTCTCCCAAGAACCCAATGTGAAGGTAAAATCAGCCCAGTGACATTAAACAAGCACGGATTGTTAATGATGTTCTCTGTCAGACGTGTGTCGCTTGTCAGGAAACAATTAATTGGATTATCCAGTAAACCACAAGAGTTTGTTTTCAGGTATCAAGAAGTATGTTGTCGGGTTGATCATCAAGACTTCTTCTGATCCTGCAAACATGGAGGTGAGGTTTTATTAATGTGAGGTGCTGCTGTGATGTGAACCATCTTTGTGCTTCTCAACACCGATGCCACTGCTTTTGTTTATTCACAGAAAGAGGGAGTGTACATTTCAAAACTAAACATGATCCTCGTACAGGCAAGTAACCAATCAGAATCAGAACAAGGCCTGACACAGTGATGACGCTAATAACACAGAGCGCTTCTCTTGGGACTGGTTTAGATCCTGAAGCAGGAGTGGCCCAAACACTGGCCCACCTTCATCAGTGATATTGTGGGAGCGAGTCGCACTAGCGAGAGCCTCTGTCAGAACAACATGATCATCCTCAAACTGCTCAGTGAGGAGGTTTTTGACTTCTCTAGTGGCCAGATGACCCAGGTGAAGGCCAAGCACCTGAAAGACAGGTAATTGGTGAAGTACGGCTGGTCTGAAGTGTGCTAATGGTTTGTGTGTCTGGAGAGTTTCACAGCTGCTGGGACAAAGGGCTTAGTTTTAACCTGTTCATTGGTTTCTTTGTGTGTGTGTGTGTGTGTGTTTGTGTGTGTGTGTGTGTGTGTGTGTGTGTGTGTGTGTGAGCATACCATCCAAAGCTTATAGGAGCACTGAAAGTGGAAGCATTTTCTGCTTTACCAGTGGAGTCACTGAAACACTTGCTACACTAATATATGGTTATACCACCAATGATGTTATTTATAATTCTGCCTTTCAGCATGTGCAACGAGTTCTCCCAAATCTTCCAGCTGTGCCAATTTGTGATGGTAAGACAATGCTGTCACCAGATGAACAGTTGTCAGCATCTCCCGTTGATGTTTAGGAAACACCACAATCTGTTTTCATATGTAATGTCATCATCTGTGTAGGAAAACTCCCAGAATGCCCCTCTGGTCCATGCCACACTGGAAACCCTCCTTCGCTTTCTGAACTGGATTCCTTTAGGTTACATCTTTGAGACCAAGCTCATCAGCACTCTGGTCTACAAGGTAAACAACTACCATTCATTCAGCTAGTCAGAACTTTAAAAGAGTAAAAGGAAACTAGTCTTTACCGTGGCAGATGTGACTTTTTATTCATTACTTTCTAGCACTTCAGAACTGTGCCATTTTATAGAACAAAAAAGCTGGAGCATCGTCTCACACTGCAGACAGGACAGTGACACTGCTGGGTTTTATGTTTGTTTCAGTTCTTGAACGTGCCCATGTTTCGTAACGTGACACTGAAATGTTTGACGGAGATCGCCGGAGTGAGTGTCGGCCAATACGAGGAACAGTTTGTCAACCTGTTCACCCTCACCATGTGCCAGCTGAAAGAGGTACACACACAGTCATTCTGAACGGTGCCTGAGTTGATTGCACTCAGTAAGATTGTACACAAACACACACCCTGCACATACACACATGCATAAAGTCTGCAGACGTAACAAACTAGACTTGCTGTCAGACACTCATTATTACACACACACACTACACTAACTGTCAGAGTGAGCAGTTTCCTTTTGTTGACTGTTATTACAGATAGACTAAACTGTGGCAGAGGGAGCTTGTGATTTCAACACAGGGAAA